TCACTATGAAAAATATGATTCCTACCGAAATAGGACAGTAATTGAGTCAGCATAACCTATTCGAATATTTATTACTAAACGACTTGTTTTTTGCCGCAATGCCACCTGTGAGAATTATGCAAGGTTTTTCTTCGCTCGGCCAGGTACCTTTACAGCTACCAGCGGCTGACAAGAGATGTCGCCTATATTAATCGCAATAATTATTTTATTAGTAGCAAGAGCGGCAGCCACGGTTAGTGTTTGTTCGATCTTTTTTTTACAAAAAATGTATGAATGTTGCTACTTTATATTTACAAGTGTCGTCACTGAAATTCGAACCGTGAACGTCTAAATAGAAGAGCAGGCGTTGTTATGTCAACAAACGACCACGGCACTTACAGGTTGGTGATGAACAGCGTGATGTGGTCGGGCGGCACGAAGTCGTACTGCGGCGCGACGACGCGCGACGAGCACGCCTCCGCGCTCCTGCGAACGCATGTACGGGGTTACCACCTCGCAAGACAACGTTACTAACAGCAGGAGCCTACTAAACGTCACACTAACTATTCATATGTAATTTGTAAACGTTACATATCACAAACAATATAAGTTAGTAAAAGGTAAACCTAGTTTTTTTATCTTTTCGTAAAGGATTTGTGACTAGAAAAACCCTGGTCTAAACGGTAATAACTCTAGTCAGGACGGGGATGGGAGTCATCGCGGAGGACGTCGCATATTTGAACCTACCTTACTACCAAATACCAGATCTCAAAAGTGTCTGATAGTACAACAAAAAAAGTTTGTTTTTGGTAAATTTATTATGTTTTGTAAAAAGACATGGGAATAAAGTTGTTGTTAATGATGTTAGTAACAAAATCAAAGAATCATTTATCACATGGGAAAAATAAATTTACACTTGAAAACCTACGCTGATTTCCCTGAGAAGAACGAGCAAGAAACTCTAGTGATTGCTCTTTTCAAATAAACTTAAATACCATGGAATACACTTTGAATCAAATTTGTGTGGAATATAGGGGTCATGTCGTATTTCCACTACATCTTTATCTACCACGTAGTCTTCAATTGTGTAATATGACTTTTCTATGAAAATATTTTTAATGTACTTTTTAAACTTAGGAAATGATAATCTTAATATATGCTCCGGAATCTTATTGTAAAAACGTATACAGTTCCCTAAAAGTTCCATAAAAGAGTCGATTACCTTGGTTAAACGAAATCGTGGTAACGTGTATAGTATTTTTTTGAAATAAATTATACTATATAGTAGGAGGGAAACGAGCAGACGAGACACTTGATGGAAAGTGGTCATCGTCGTCCATGGACATCTGATCATCAGATGAACTGCCTATGTGTTGTGTTAGCCTTTGAGAGCCCTGCCTGTTGATTCGCTTTTTGAAGAACCCCATGTCATAGCGTCGAAGATATGGCGGGAGACCATTCCACATCTTGCAGGTTTGAAGACCGAATGAACATGACGCCCGCGTGATCTTACAATGCCAGGTTTGAAGGATGCGGAGATGGTGAGATGGAAACCACTTCGTAGACTCTCTAAGAAACTCTGTAGACTTGGGTGCTCCAATCCGTCTGTGAGTTCGGGATCATCGAAAAACTCGAGCAGCCCGACGTTAGATGGAGTCAAGCATCAAATACAATTTTCTCGGAAAATATATGCGTATTTTACCGAATTTATTATACTGTGTCATTACTATGTATGAAAATATGATTGTTATTTTAACTTGCTTAACTTTAGCATCAGACGAGTTTTATGTAATTTAAAATGAATTGTTATCTGATTAACTTCGTAATTGGTTATAGTATATTTGAATCGAATTTGAATTTTAAATGTCCTTATTAAAATATAAAAGTAAGGCAATTACAAAATGAACTTATTTTCAATTTGTAATAATCTAATAAAAAATATGAGGTTAATCGTTACTTAGGTTGACTCACCTTCTCGAACATTTAAGCTCAATACATAAATGATATTTAATTTTTTAATTGTTTAGCGACGTGAATTTTACTTCTGTGTACTGCTTTTGGTGAGCAATGCGTATAATAAAAAGAACGAAAGGACAACTAGAAAGCGACTCACTCGAAATACTATATTTGCATAAGACCACATGAAAAAAATTAAGTTATATATTATAAAACAAATTAAAAAGCTGCATAATATGTCAATAAACGAATACATAAAATTAAACATTCGACTGTGAACTGGCAACCGGTACTATCTAAATTTATATAGCATCTGGTTTATTAAATTAAAATACGTAGTGTACATGCATTACATGTGTAATAAAAAAATTTGAAAACTACGAGATGCTATATGTACGGTTTTTGCACCGTACAATACTTTGCTAACTTATAAACTTACATATTGCACGTGTAAATGCTCATAAAGACAGTTGACAACTCGCTTCACTAGCGATCGGCCACAGACAAGCATCCAAAACTATACTGTACACTTTTTACTTAATACATCAACTTATTACGGAAATTGTGGTTTACGTCAACTCTATATCCTACTCTACTTAATAATACTCCAATCTTAGACGTTCAGAGAACCACACACTATATAAATGATGCCAGCAAGTTTTTTCTTCATCTTGTAAAGTTGTCAAAATTGAAGTAGTACCGATTGCCAGTTCATAGTCGCATTTCTTTATATATTACATGTCCGTGTTTTTTTTTTGATATTTTCATCCATTTCCCAAAATGTACTTTCTTAATTTTATCACTATTATTGAGGGAGCGAAATGGTGGCGGTTAAATTGAATTTCGTCATTATTGTATTACTGGGCAATAGTTGTCAGCACAAAACATTGGTACTTATATTTAAAACTTAGGAGTAAATGAAGAGAAAATCAATGTCTGAATTAAGTTGGGTCGCGAGAAATAATGGAAGGTGAAAAGTCCTCACTCGTAGGGCAGCGCGTGATGCGGCGGCGCCAGCGCGTTGAAGTGGTGCTGGTCGCACGCGTACAGGGGAGACAGCTTGTACAGGGGGGCCAGCACGATCACCTGGAGGGGGCCACATGGGTTTCCACGTTATGAAATTGTGGCGTATGTGTATTACACCGGATATTGGGAAATTCATAGGAGCAATTGTCACTCCAAGATTGCCATTTTATTGAAAATAATTTGAATTCACTCAAATATGATGGATAAAAAAAATGGCAACACTGGCCGCGGTGACAGAAGGGACCTGCTGTCTTATTTTAAAAAAGCACATTATGAAGCTACTTCGTTTTAAGAGAGCCTCGTTCACTTTGACTTGAAACGATTTGAATCGGCAATCTTCCAACAAGGCTCCAGCGACCCGTCAGTAACAGCAATCGATTCGCAACACGACGACTCACCGGCACGCTGTAGAACTTGGCGGCCGTGGTGACGGCGTGCAGCCCCGCCTCGGCCAGCGCCGCGCCGCCCGCCAGCGCCGCCCGCGCGCCCACCACCACCTGCGAGAGACACGTCAGTGGCGGGGCTGCGCGGGCGCAGCGCCCTGCCCCTCGCCCCCCGCCCCTCGCCCTCGCCGCACCTTGTTGACCCGCGACATGAGCCCGCACACGGCCGCGTTGCTCACCACGGTGACGGGCGCGCCCGCCGCGCTCAGGCGCAGCGCCATCGCGTGGCTCTGCGGCGAACCAAACATTAGCCTCGGCCCCTTCCGCGGCCGGCGGCCAACCGCAGCTGCGTCACCTTCTGGTGCTGCGTGCCCTCGACCAGGATCAGCCGGAACTTGCGGCTCAGGCACGTCTTGAGGAAGCGCTCGGCCAGCGCCGACGCGCCGTACGTCAGGATCAGCTCGTCCGCGTGCACGTGCGAGCGCGCCGTCCCGCAGATGGACTGCGCCGACGTCTCCAGCTCGAGGCGGATCTGCGATCGGGCGAGGGAAACGTCACGTTGGTGCGCTCTCGTTCTCGACTTCCGACCGACCACCGAGACAAACACGATATTCTTTCTTCCAAACGGAGCGCCCGAAGGACAATGGTACGCATTTGTATAAAAGAGTCCTTCAATCTGACCTAAATTGTTCTTTTCGGAAAACGCAGATGGCGGTAGTTACGTTATTCCATTCTTTTCCTCTACGCATTAGGAAAGAGGAAGCAGAGCTATTCGTGCGATTAGATGTTATATCAACGACATAAGGATAAGAGTTCTAGTCTTTCTAGCAAAGCGAAGGAGGAACGGCGAGGCTCTCGGAAAGAAATCCGACAAAACCTGCATTAGCATCGTCAAATTCTTTCAACGCCTTTTCTAAAATCCATATAATTATACAAATGACTAAGATTCTTCTTGCTGATTTTGAAATGGTCTCGATGGTATTGTTATTCGTTGACGCAACAAAGTTATTAGAATAAGTCGTCCGGTAAATATAACCTCCTATTGCTTCTTGAATGGCCAACTGTAGAACCTGAACAAACATACCTCAGCGATGTGTTCTCTCAAGGGCTCCCTGAGGTCCTGCTGGTTGGGCCCGAGCGTGGCTCTCCTCGCGCCTGCACCGAGCACCAGTTTCTGAAGACTCTCGCCGCCGCCGTACTGCGTAAGGAGCCACTTAAGTCAAGTTCAAAAAGGGGCAACTGTTGGGCTAGATAACAGATCGAAAGTTACCAATTGCACTAACAATACTTGAAATGAAGCCAAAACCGAAAGATTATCAATGAACACTATCAACAGAAGTATCTCGAACTGACGCATGAGCCCACCGACACCCACCCCACAGGGTGTGGACTCCACTAAAATGATTCCAATTGTTTTTGCTGTGTCGTTGCGCTTCTAACACAAATGAAGAATTAAGCGATGGTCGTTCACCGGTTCTTAAACCTGAGCCCGTGACCGACTGTGCCATTGTCAGGGAACACCGCCTCTCCCTTTTGATAAAACAAAATCCGTGTTTAGATCACCGGAGAGACGAGAATCTATAAAATAATAATAATTGGTGTTATATTTGTAGATTACATTTTATTTTTACACAAATTCGATTAGATTTCGATTCCCGGGCCGGGATAAATGTTTAAATGGCCTACATTTATTTCTCTCGTGAGTTTGTTTTGTGTCCACGGCACCCGCGATACCGGGTTTCCCTAGTGCGGGGCTATTAGTGACTTGAGTTTAGTTTAAGTTATAATGAAATATAATACATTTTTATGTTTATATACCGTGCTAATAAATAAATAAAGACAATGCATTACACATTTACATGTGTGCTGCCTCTGCTGGTACGTAATGTGATGTAGAGAATGACATTTTATGGCTATGTGGTGGGACGAGGACAGCGATAGCCACAGAACAATAAATACAGTAGAAGTGGTTAGTAAGTGTAGCACGCGTGCCAATTGTAGGCGTAGTTCCGCCTACTACAGTCCGCCATTTTCGCTTTGTACGTTATGGTTGTGTCAATTCTCTCGATCATAATCTCTAAAATCGTAGAAAAATGCCTTGTTGTGCTGTTTTGGTGTGAAAAAATTATAGCTGCACCAAAAATATTACCTATGGTGGTATTTCTTATCATCAGTAAGTGTAATAATAATAACCCACACGGTCAACGTAGCCCCACACTAGGGCAACCCAGTGTCGCGGGTACCATGGACACACACATAGACAACCACAAATTACACCAAACTCACGAGAGAACTAAATGTAGGCCATACAAATATTTCTCCTGGCCCGGGAATCGAACCTGGGACCTCTGCGTGGCAGTCTGGCATGGTAACCGTTTGGCTATGGAGGCAGTAAAAAGTAAATAATTTTAATTAATTTTTAATTTTCTGTTTATTTGCACTGTAACAAATGAAAAGAAACATTATCCCAGTGCAATATGGTCGAGTTTTTTGGAGTACTAAGTAATTATCTCGAATTTTTCATAGTAATGAACAAATTTGAAAGTTAATTGATGAATGAATAAGTGTGATACCTGGTCTGCGTTGGCGCGGTACTCGTCCTGGATGGCCCTGAGCACGCGCCGCACCATGTTGGCCGCGACGAGCTCGGCGGGCAGAGCGCGGACAATGCGACGTCCCACCTCGCGTACTACGCAACTCAGCTGCCTGTAATTGACATCAAATGCTTGCATACATAATATACGTAAGTGAACATTGTACAAAGTCAAAAATATAAAATGAATTTATTACTGATTAAAAAAACTTAAATTGAGTGTTTAGAATAAAATTGAATATTTCATGTGATTTGGGTACCATCATGATGATCATAGTTATAAGTTGAGTATATTTTAGTGACAACTTTAACGGAGCTACTCGGAACGCGTCGTACTATTACTAATATAAAATGTATCATCAGGGGAAAATTCTGAAAAACTAGTTTTATCTACATATTGTGTAACATTATATTATTTAAGGCTAAACTGTTGTTGTTTCAAAATAGATAAATAAAGCTCTTTATTATTATTATCATACATAGATCAAACAAACAGAAATATAGACATGTGCCAGCGTCCGTCACCTCAACGCGGCTATGCCACAATCCCTTTCATTGTAATTGAATTACTAACTAATTTCTACATGTAGCTTAAGCCAATAAACATGCTGTTTGAAACCATTCCTGTTCTACTATACACCCTTATTTCTGAAATACCTGATATAAGAAGCCTTTAATGCAGTACTGCACTCCTTGTCATAAACAACATATTTGCATTATGCACATTTACAAGACATTGGCATCTATGTTAATTAAACTCGATTTGCCTAACAATAAAACTGAAACTAATTAAGATATAATAAACTAATTAGAGGGGGTTGATGATCTCATTTCGCTGATTACAGATAATATGTAATAACTCTATTTATCTAAAAAGTGTTGGTTACGTTGTTTATGATTATAACAGCAGAATACTTACATGGCATTGGCATTTTGTGAGTCAGAGATGACCAGCTCCAGTAGAGCCACTGTCGCCACTGCTATCTTGTTGGAGCCTTCCAACTTTCTGCAAACAATACAAGTAATTAGTAAGCAGGGGTCAATATTCTCAAACTATCCCAGAGGGAGACTGACTTATTTCCATATCTATAATAAATAATAATAACTTCTAATCTTGTTTTATACAGTTTTCAATGAAATATGGTAAAAAGTCAGAAACGATTTTGCATAGCCTTCACAATAGTATTTGTTGATATTGTTTTTGTCATTGTTCATTGTATTGTTTGAAGGCTTTAGTCATTCATTGTGATCTTGTTTGAAATAAACCTCCTGTTGTTTTTCATAAGTATATACTACATATTCCATGCAACTATTGATCTTACTACAACTTAAGGTACATATTCCATTCAGTGCAACTAAATCACCAGTTCAATCTTGGTATTGTTTATTATATATAATAAATTGGTCTTGTTATTGTTTTTAACATGAATACTTTGATTGTAACAGGCTGTTGACTTTCTTTAATAAAAATGTTTAATTAAAAAATTAATAAATACATTTCTGATGTAATAACACATAAATATTGTTGAACAGAAACTTAACCAATTTTACGTTTAAAACAATCGACGATACAACATAGGGCCTTATGTTAAGCGTTAATATATAAGACAAGTGATAATTAGTTACTATAATTACAGAATTGCGTAAATTAGAAAGATCAAAATTAGAAATCTGCCACGACTTACCCATTTCGAATATCCGAGACAAATTTTACTATATTGTCGACATGTTTCGTGTTTAATTCTATCACTGAATCCTCTAATGGCGACATATTATTAAATAATTACCCACTTAACACAAAAACTCAAATATTTTAATTTTTAATCATTTAAAAATAAAACACATAAGCATAACCCACTTCACTTTTTATTTTTATGGCTCCATCAATATGAGAACTGATGATTTTGCCAATGTCACAGTTGAAAGAAAAAAAAAACGAAACCAAAAAAAAAATTTTCGCTAAGCTCTAATAGGACATTAACCGGTGTTGGTAAGTTGGACTACGGGAGTACTCAGTTGAGAATGTAAAACAAAACAGCAAAACAATATTTATAAATATATGTTATTTAAGTGGATAAATTTACATAGAGTAACAATATGGGGGGAGAACACTAAAGTTAAGAGGTTGTTTATGTTAACGGGGCGGGGGAATTTTGGAGAAAGTAAGTTATAAAGTGGAACAGCAATATTAGGACAATTGAAAAAAATGTGTTCCAAGGTACCGTCTTCTAGGCCGCACTCGCACAGAGAGTGATCTCGAACTCTGATTTTACGCAAAAATACAGGTGTGCAAACATGGCCTAAGCGCAAACGAATAATAGTGGAAGTGATGTTTTTAGGCAAATCGCGACGTTTAAAAAACCAGGGTTTAGTGGGTAGATTTGGTTGGAGATTACCATAGTGTCTACCAACAGTTTGTCGTGATTCCTGCCAAAGGACCGACCAGGAGGCTAGCATTTGGGGTTTAGTCATGGCGAGCAGATCTCTGGGAAAGCACTTACAGTATTTGCACACGCCAATTCTTGTCGCATCCTTTGCAAAGGCGTCTACTGCTTCGTTGCCACTGATCCCAGTGTGACCGGGAATCCAGGCCAGAGTTACCTCAATTCCCGCACAATGACATCGGTACAGAGCTTCCTTAATTTGGAGGGTGATGGAGAAATTGTCTTTGGAATGAAACGGTAGCTTAATAATGTCTTGGAGGCAACTTAGTGAGTCTGAGAAAACCAAACATTTATTAATTTTATGGGACTCAATATATAAAATGGCTTCGAGTATTGCAATTGCCTCTCCCGAAAAGACCGAATTCAGATAGGGGGATTTAAAACTGAGTACGACATTGAACTTGGGGAACCAAACCGCGGCTCCCAAGTCGCCATGTTCGTGTAATTTTGAAGCGTCGGTAAAAACAGTAGTCCAGTCATGCCATTCTCTCTCAACTATATCGTTGAAGACTTGGTTTGCTCCAGGGGTATCTTTCATGATGCCAAAACTAAGATAGACTGTTGGGCGAAACGTTAAACATTTAAAATCAGTTTCAAACAACGGGTTCATATAATTTTGGTAAATAGGGAATGGGAATGGGCATAACCCACAAATTGAAAACCACTTGAAATGTTGAAATTGAAAACTTTATTTTTTTTTTAATTTGCACTCATTTATTTTAGGCAGGCAAAGGTTTCATCATACAGCCTCTTTTAAAATCAATGGAACTCTCAAATATACCGGGTGTAATCGTTAAGCGTGACCAGGCGTTTATTCTATAAATATCAGAGATATTGAAAAGCTATAAAAAGATATCGAAAGTACGTTACCTAATAAGTAAATTAACATCAATATTAAAAAAAAATATAAAAATAAATTAAAATTTTTTTTTTATTAACTTTCACAAAAGAAACTTAATGTATCCTTACAATGGGTCCTTACAAGTTATATGACAGTTTCGTTTGTGAAAGTCTGGTGTCCATACTAGGATTAACCTGTGTTACAGAGCACCAGGCTTTCACCCTTTTACCTCCGGTGTAGACTCTACATTAACATGTGAAATTAATAAAAGAGTATGCAAATATGAAGTATAATATAAAAGGAATGTAATATATACATCTATAAGTGTATAGTATATTTGAGTGTGTGTGTGTGTGTGTGTGTGTGTGTGTATTGTGTGTATGTGTGTATGAATGTGCGTGCGTGATTATTCATATTGGAGTAAGAGTTGAATATAGTAAGTGATATTGAGATTTATAATGAATATATAAATAAATAAGTGTAATTATAATTTTGATGTTTCATTCTGTTAAGTGACACAGTGCAATAGATTTTCTGTACCTTCGTAGTCGTACGCATTTAGCTGATCCTTAAGCATTATCTTAAACCTATAGTTATTATAGTTTCTCATGTTTTTTACTTTTCTACTTAGCCTGTTGTAGATACGAGGTGCCACGAAGCTGTAATGTTTTTGTCCAAATTTACTTTTTCTAAAGGGTACAGGGCATGAAAAATGTCTTTGATTGGCGATAGGTAGTGTGGGGATGGTTATTTTGTGGTAACGGCGTAAGCATTGGTAAATAAATAATTTTCTTATACTTAGGGTTTTTGATTTTTCATACAGTTGTGTTGTCGGATATCTGTATGGTAGTTTTAGCGCGACTTTAAGGACTACTCTTTGTGCTCTTTCTGCTTCTATGAGTTGTGTTTTGGCAGCGTTACCCCAACAGCAGATGCAATAAGTAATTATTGATATATACTAGAAATATACAAAATTCAACATTCAACGCTCCCATACATATTTGTTTGAAAAATGTTTTTTATTAAATTTGACTTTGAATTTGATTTTACATGAAATCGATCAGCACTAAAAAAATTTTGATTAATTTTATTAATTTTTATGGACCACTCACACTTGACCAAATAATCGTCTGTGCCATTATACTTTCACTCAAATAAAAGATGGTTTTATTACTATATTCGGACACCAGCCCATTGCACCAAGTACCAAGTACTATATTCATATCATTTTTGTTATCTGTTACCTTATTTTTACAGTAACTAAACTAAAGCCTCTCTACGAGTGTTATATTCAATGCATGAGAGCGTTTAATGTTAAAATTGTGGATACTTCTAGTTTAATTTAAAAAATATTATTGATATCGATTTACTCATTAGGTAACGTACTTTAAATGATAATAATAATAATAATAACGCACACACTCAATATAACCCTGCACTTGGGATACCCTGTGTCGCGGGTGCCATGAACACTCCCGGCCCGGAAATCGAAGCTGGTACTGGGCTGGGGCGTGGCAGTCCAGCAGAGGCAGTGAATTTCGATATCAGTTTAATGCTTTTTGATATCTCTTATATTTATTGAATAATCGCCTGCGCATATTTAACTATTACACCTTGAGTGGTGTAATAGCCATGAATGGAACCACTGCACAGTCTTATAGTGAACCACTGGAACTGTGCGATGTCAAAATGACATTAACATTTTTTTTCAGTGCAAGAGTTCTGCCATTACTATTGGGTAATTTTCCAAAAAATTTCAAACAGTGGAATTTTTTCCGGAAAAAGTCCCAAAAAATTTGAAAAATTGGAGAAATAGAATTTTGAAGATTCTAGTAATAATGTTCTATGTTTAGAATATCTTGTGAAGTTTTATTTAGAGGGAATTATAAAATAAACTCGTTTAGTTAAAGAAAAACCAGATTTAAAATCATTTCACAACAACGAAAAAAAAATCTTTTGGTGGTTCCATGGTTTTCGTTCAGTAACTTCAACTTTTGACAGGAGTCAACGTCAAATGTGAAGAATTACAGGAAAAATATAGGAAAAATATCATGAAATATATTTATTTTTCTTAAAAATTTGTTTTTTTTTTCAAAATGGAAATTTTCCCATGACCCAATACTATCTGAAATTCAGCCCAAAAAATTATTTATTATTATTATTAATAATATTTCCCTTTCCTTTTTGACTTAATAAAATACGTCAGTAGTGGGCTGCAAGAAAAGAAACCTAAACTGAAAACACGATTTAAATATGTTTTGAATATATAATTATATTGTCTAAAAAATCAATGATTATTGGAAAAGGAATAATACCGAGATAATCATGATTTCAATATCACTTAAAATAGAATGTTATTTTTTAATGGGACAGTATCGGGAAATCCGAAACCAAAGAAGATACAAGGAAACTGTCTTAGGAATCACTGAGTCTTTTTTTATGAAAACCATTTTGGCATAGTCAATTTTTGGTCAAGTGTGTGTTGTCCATAAAAATGAATTTAATTGGTAAAAATTTTTTTTAGTGCTAATCGGCTCAGTTTCATGAAGGAATCATTTCATTGTAAGGGACGAAAAAAATCGAGACTCTTGAAATTGGTCAAATTTCATAAAATATTTATCATACAAAATTAATAATGCAAATTTGTTTTAATGCCAATAGACTCAGTTTCTTATAAGAATGATTTTATGGTATGGGACGAAAAAATCGGGACGGCAGAAGTTGAAACCGTTTTTCGTCCCGCATGATGAAATGATTCCTTCATGAAACTGAGTCGATTGGCACTTAAAAAATTCAGTCGTATTCATTTTTACGGACAATGCTTGACCACAAAACTGATTATCCCAAAATTGTTTTCACAAAAAAGACTTAGAGGTTCCTAAGACAGTTTCCTTGTATTTTTTATGGTTTCGGATTTCCCCTTAACGTCCCATTAAAAAAAACACTCTGTTATAAAAATCAATGATTACTATAATCGTGAGTAAATTATAATGAATATTTTTAAGTTTTCTTTAGATTTCATTTATCGTAAAGATAGCCAGAATAATACCTAATTGGCAAATTTCTTGACATAGATGTTTAATTTCTTATCTGGAAGGAAAATGGAAATTTTAAAAATAAATGCTAAAGAATCATTCTACAGCAAAAACTAACAAAAACTAATCCTTAGATTCTATACTATTAACTTCAAGTCACAATAATGACAACAAAGCAAAAAATCAAAGGGTCCTTAATTGACATTGCATGTGCATCAGCGCTAGGTAGTTACATTAACAAAGACATATTCAGGTAAAACGTTGAAACGGACTAACGGCATACCGTAGTATTGTGTATCATTTAATGCAACTACCAAAAATGATTATCGCAAAATGTTGTGCTTCCAAAACGAAGCCTAGAAAAAAAAAATCTAAAATAAATTATTAAAAATTACATGAATCCCAATTAGAGGTCGCAAAATATTAGAAAAAATAAAATTTTGTAGTATTT